CGCGGAGCCGTCCTTCTTCGTCGCCTACATGTCGTCGGCGGAACAGGCCAACTGAGCCGCGGAGCGGGCGTGGAGCTGCAGGTGGAGCCGACCACGGGCCAGCCGAGGGGTCGCCCTCGTCCTGCTCACCCACCAACATCGTCGTCGCCCTCCTCCTCCTCCACCTGCACACACTCACAGAGACCTCCTCCTCCTCCTGCACACACACAGAGACCTCTGGGACTCTGGGGACCTCCAGGGAGCCCTTTCCGCCTGCAGACCTCAAACCTGGGCGTCGTGAAAGAGAAGCCCACGTGGGGGGGGGACGGGCGGACAGAGTCGTGACGGCGGCGCGCCCTGGGCGGCGGAGCAGAGCACTGCTTCCCATCCCCGCGCCGGGCGAGCTTCAGCGACGGCCGCGACCAATTTGCTTAAAAGTCGACTGCGCACCAAGCCGCTGGCGGCGCCCCGCCAAAGGCCGGGGCACCGCGGCGGCGGCAGCAGCGGCGACATGTACCTTCCCCGCCTCGAGTCGAAGCCAGGGCGCCGTCCAGCTAAGATCTGCTCGGCACCGGTCTGTGACTGGCCGTCCTGAGGGTGCTTTGTCATGAAGGGAACGGGTCCTGAGGGAAACGGGTCCGAGGTTTTTCGCCGTTCTCGGGCTGCCCGGGCCCTCCACGGGCCATGGGTCTGGGACTGTCAAACAAAGACTCTGGATGAGGTATGAGTCCTGGGGGAATGCCCCCAGGTCCAGGACCCGTTTCCATCAGGACTTGTTCCTTTCATGCTAAGGGTCTTCATTGGGGCAGCGTGCGTGCTCCAGGCGGCCCAGTAGGCGCGGGGGGGGGGGGGGCAGATCGCGTGGGGGTGCGGGATGGGGCTGTCCAGCGCGGGTCGTGGTGGGGGGTGGGTCGCATTAGGGACTGGTCTGGGCGCGCGCAGGTGGGCCATCGGACGGAGCGGCCCAGGGGAGTGCTTGTTGAGCCGTGGTGGGGAGGAGCTCCCGACACCGACCCCGCAGGTCGGGTGAGGGAGCAGGGGCTCCGAGGAGGGCGTGGTCGGAGGGTCGGAGGCAGGTTCGCACCCGCCCTGCGCCGCGCTCGCACTGGGGCCAGTGTTAGGACGTTCCAGCCTACTTCACCTTTGATCGCCAGGGAGAATTTCAAGCACCAGGAAAGTATCGAAACTGGAGAGTGTTCGCGTGTCGGGCCCTGGGAGGCGATGCTCGTTCGACACTTCTCTAGCGCGTCGGGCAGATACTGCTTCGGTGCTGTGTGCGGGTGCTCGAAATTATGTCTGGGATGTGGTCCTTAACTTCGATGAAAACAAAACAAATCAGCCACGCGCAGAGAGGGGTGGGGGGAGGGGGGAGGGCTTAGAAGCACCCCTGCTTCTTAGAAGGCGTGGGCCTTATCTATAGATGTAAGGCCGGCGCCTTCTAAGAATCAGCCTCCTTCTAAGAAGCCTTCCCCCCTCCCTCCACCCCCTTGTGCGCGCCGCCAAATAAGGCCCGTCTCGGCCCTACTCGGGGCTCCTCCTGGTCTTCCTCTGGGGGACCGCGTCGTCGCCGCGGCTGGCCCAGCTCGGACCAGGCAGGGAGTCGGGGGTCAGGCTTGAGCCTCTTCTGGTCGGGAAGGGGGGCAGGCAGGTATGTTTTCGCATCTACCTTTAAGTCGGGCGTGTCCCTCTGCAGGAGGAGTATTCAAAAATAGTCCACAAATAGTTTGGGGATGACGATAGATAATGTTCGACTATGTTTGAGTATATTTTGACTGTTTGTTGTTACTTCTCTTCCAAAGCCCGCATGTAGGAGGACATGCCCGACCTAAATCTACCTCGCCCAGGCCCTTCTGCAGATCTGGAAAGGCCCGAGGGTCCTGCTCTGGGCTCGAAGGTTTCCAGCGCAGGAGTCCGCCACCGGCGAAGGCGCGTGAGGCAGGAAGCAAGAAACAATGCTCTCTCGGTTCGGTCCTCTCGGGCAAGCCTCGGAGGGCCAAGCCTGCCTGCTTCTAGAAGACCAACATCTGGGGCCGATGCCAAATACTTACGCAGGACGAAAGAGTTTTCCTCCTGGGGTGAAAAAAAGGCCATGAGGACTTCATGGGGACTTCACGAGACAACGTCGGCGCCGCCGAACGGACGGCGACCGGACGAGCTCTTTGCAGCAACCGGGGGGGAGGGATGTATGTATTCATGTTGAATGGGGCCCGCTCGCGCGGGGAGTTGATGGGAGTGCGCGAGACGACGCAAGGCCCATCGTGGAAAGGTAATTACCGAAACCCCCCATCCCCCGTAGAATCTTAACACGGGCGGTTTGCGGGGTCCGCGGATCCGATTTCTTCCCGTTCCCTGTCTTAGTTTAATACGTAGCACCCCGCAATTGCGGATAAGAGTGAGGGGGCGGGCGCGGGCGACGCGGGCGTCGTCGAGCCGGCGGACCTCGTGGCCCCCACGTTCCCTGTCGATGGCGCTCTCCTCCTCCTCCTCCTCCTCCTCCTCCTCCTCCTCCTCTTCCTCGTCCTCGTCTTCATCGTCATCGTCATCCTCCTCCTCCACCTCCTCCTCCTCTTCTTCCTCGTCCTCCCTCTCCCCCCCTCGTCCTTTCATCATCGTCCTCCCATTGTCGTCCTCCCCCTCATCGGCCTCCATTATCGTCCTCTCTTTTGTCGTCCATCATCATCATCCTCCCCCTCCTCCCCCTCCTCGTCCATTCCTCCTCCCCCTCCTCCCCCTCCTCGTCCTCCTGCTCCTCCTCCTTTTCTTTCTCCACATTATCCTTACATCCTCTCTTCTTCCGCGTTCTCCTCGTCCCCTGTTTACTCCTCCTGCCTCCCCCTCCTTCCCAAGATAACTGCAACGCAATCCTTTTTTCCACTTTATGCTCCCCGCCTTCTCTGATCAAGGCAACTCGCCAGGGCAGAGTTGCTGGACGGGCTGGTGTGGATGCGCGGGGCTTGAAGAGGTCCTTGCGGGCTCAGACGGCATGCAAAAATCCGCCGCCGCGCTTGTGCGGCATTGGTTTGTTCAGTGAACGCGGTTTAGGTCGCGGGTGGGCCGCGGGTTCTCCACCTCCACCTGGAAGGAATGCAAAAGCAGCCCGCCGCAGGCGCCAAAAAAATTGGTTTGTACACTGAACGTGGTTTGGGTCGCGGGTGGGCCGCGGGTTCTCCACCGGGAACAAATAATGCAAAAGATGCTCGCCGCAGGCGCCGAAAAATGTGGTTTGTACCCTGAACGTGGTCGCGGGTGGGCCGCGGGCTCTCCACTTGAAACGAATGCAACGGATGCCCGCCGCAGGGGCCGAAAAATGTGGTTTGTACCCTGAACGTGGTTTGGGTCGCGGGTTGGTCGCGAGCTGGTCACGGGGTGGGTCGCGGGCTCTCCACCTGGAAGGAATGCAAAAAAAACCCGCCGCAGGCGCCGAAAATGGTGGTTTGTGGGCCGCGGGCGGGTCGCGGGGGGGTCGCGGGGGGGTCGCGGGGTGGGCCGTGGGCGGGTCGCGGGGTGGGTCGCGGGGTGGGTCGCGGGGTGGGTCGCGGGGTGGATTGCGGGGTGGGTCGCGGGGTGGGTCGCGGGTGGGTCGCGGGGTGGATCGCGGGCGGGTTGCGGGGCGGGTTGCGGGCGGGACGACGACAACAAACAACAACAACAACAACAACAACAACAACAACAACAACAACAACAACAACAACAACAACAAACACAACAAACAACAACAACAACAACAACAACAACAACAACAACAACAACCAACAACAACGAGAATCCGCACCGCGGAATTCCAATTCAGCCACGCACCCAGGGACAGTGAATGACCGTTGGGCCCCCTCACTCTGACTATATAACTATTATATAAATTTAAAACAGGGTAGGAAACGGATCCGCCGTAAAAAATGAGAGTGGACACGGATCCAGCGAATCCGAAATCGGATCCGTACGGACGGAAATCGGATCCACCGAAACAAAAACAAAAACCAGATTTGAATCCGCGCGAATTTCATGGGATCCGACGGTGGTTATCTCATACGGGTCTGCTCAAAAGTTCACACCGTCGTTCCGGGCCCAAGAGGAAAAAATGCTCGTCCTGGGGATGTACCGCTCTCACGTCCTAGCCAATAGCCAAAAGCGTCTATGGACACATTGGGTGCCGTGACGTCCAAAGACATGTTCAGGGTGGGTACGTCTATGGACGACGTGGCCGTTGCGTTCGGCGCGGTGCAAGGTCGGAGAAAGGGTAGATCTGTCGACGGTATATTCCTGTTCTAGCGCAGGTCCCACATGGCACGCCTAGGCAAACCGCTCCTTCCAAAGCTTGCGTGCGCCATGTGGAATTTGCAGCGCGCAGAGTTGAGAGCTGCGCTGCCTCACACTTCATCGAAGCCTGACGCGGGCACCCGTGTTCCAGCGCGCTGGGTTACCCGGCATTCTAATGAGTGGGCCCAGGCATCCGACGTCGTCATCCTTTCATTACGTGGCCCCTGGACCGCTCGATCTCACCCTCGGGGCTGGTTTCATCACGGGCTGTTTTCTGACGGCCTCGGGGCAGAGACCCCCCACAAAGCCAGAGGTCCAGGGAAGGTTTGCCCTGCGCACGCGCCGCCCTCTGCGACACAGGGGGCGAAGTCTGGCTGGGACGAGGGGGGGGGGCGACGGGATCGCGTCGTTCGCCCGTACGCTGGCCCTCGACCATGGAGGGGTCTCAGGGAAACGAACAGTGACGTAAACATGAACACTCGGACGTCCGCGCGGATCTCTCGGATCGGCGCTGGACCCCCTTCCCTGCGCCACCAGGGGGATCCAGCGCCGATCCGAGAAGTCCGCGCGGACCTCCGAGCTTTTCTGTTTGTGTCACTGTTCGCTTCCCTGGGTATGCCGAGCGGCCAGGTCAATGCTCCCTCCCCCCAATCGCCCTCGGCAGCAGGGGCCGGCGCGGAGGGCACCTGGGTATCCAACGTCGGGCTTCGCGTTCGACGACGACCCACAAAGGTATCGACACTTCACCCGAGGCCGGCTTTCCATCTCGAGCTTCTCTGTCGACGGTCCTGGAGCACGGCAAGGGCCCCCAGAGCTTTTTTTTATATATATATATATATATATATATATATATATATATATATATATCCTGGCGAAGGTCCCAACCATATGCAGTTGTGGGTATCGTAATTGTGAATATTTGCTTCGGTGAAGCTCTTTATGGGGCCACGAAGCGCTGCACTGGGCGGGGGGGAACGCTGTACTCTGTGGGTGGTGTGTCGACTTGGGTTTCCGGGACGCATGCGGACGGTCCCACTGAGGTGTTCGGTGGAGCTCCCTATGGGGCTACGAAGCGCTCTACTGAGTGAGTGAAAATGCCAAATTGGGCTACCAGGACGCATGCGGACGGTCCCATTGGGGGCTTCTGTGGAGCCCCCTATGGGGCCACGAAACGCTGCATTGCGCGGGTGAAAATACCAAATTACATTTCCCAGACGCATACGGACGGTGGCATTGGGGCCTTGGGTGGAGCCCCCCATGGGGCCATGAAACGCTGCACTGGGTGGGTGAAAATGCCAAATTGGGCTTCCGGGACGCATGCGGACGGGGGCGCTGGGGCTTTCGGTGGAGCTCCCTATGGGGCCCCGAAAGGCTGTACTGGGTGGGTGAAACGCAGGAAAGGGGAGGAGGGCCACGAAACGCTGTACTGGGTGTGCGAAACGCATGCGGACGGTAGCACTGGGACCGTCGGTGGAGCTCCCTATGGGGCCACGAAACGTTGTACTGGGCGTGCGGGACGCATGCGGACGGTAGCACTGGGACTTTCGGTGGGGCTCCCTACGGGGCCACGAAACGCTGTACTAGGTGGGAGAAACGCAGGGAGGAGGGGCAGGAGGGCCACGAAACGCTGTACTGGGTATGCGGGACGCATGCGGACGGTAGCACTGGGACAGTCGGTGGAGCTCCCTATGGGGCCACGAAACGCTGTACTGGGTGTGTGTGTGTGTGTGTGGGACGCATGCGGACGGTAGCACTGGGACTTTCGGTGGGGCTCTCTATGGGGCCACGAAACGCTGTACTGGGTGTGCGGGACGCATGCGGACGGTAACACTGAGAACTTCGGTGGGGCTCCGTACGGGGCCACGAAACGCTGTATTAGGTGGGCGAAACGCAGGGAGGAGGGGGAGGAGGGCCACGAAACGCTGTACTTGGTATGCGGGACGCATGCGGACGGTAGCACTGGGACCTTCGGTGGAGCTCCTTGAGGAGCCACGAAACGCTGTACTGGGCGTGCGGGACGCATGCGGACGGTAGCACTGGGACCTTCGGTGGGGCTCCCTATGGGGCCACGAAACGCTGTACTGGGTGTGCGGGACGCATGCGGACGGTAGCACTTGGACCTTCGGTGGGGCTCCCTATGGGGTCACGAAACGCTGTACTGGGTGGGTGAAACGCAGGGAGGAGGGGGAGGAGGGCCACGAAACACAGTACTGGGTGCGCGGGACGCATGCGGACGGTGGAGGAGGAGGGGGAAGAGGAGGAGAGAAGGAGAACGCGGGGACCGTCTCTTCAAAACGATGACCCAACACAGGATGGTTGGGAAAAACCAGAGTCAGAGTTCGGCCAAAACTTTCGGTCGCGTTTTTTGTTCGCAACGCGAGGGGAGCCTGGGTATGGTCCCAGGCGGCAGGGGCATAATTGTTCGGGTGGGTCGCGCGTATTTCTTGCGTCGGCGTTGGACCTCCCCTGGCGCCGCCCCTGGCGCGCTTGGCGCGCCGGGCGTTGGGGGGTCCAGCGCCGACCCAAGAAATCCGCGCAGGAAAGTCTTGGGAGGTCCGGGAGGTCCCCAGAGTCCTCCAGCGGCTCCAGACAGGACAAGGGCGTCCGAGAACCTGCCGAAGGCACACGAAAACCTCCCCCCTCGATCCTGGAGGATCGAGGGCAAAACCTAGCAGGAGGAGAAGGAGAAGGGGAGGAGCAGAGGATGGGGGGGTCCCAGAGGCACCCTTTGGCGGTCCGCTCCCTCACCCGCGCGCTGTTCGCTCGGTCGCCATGGGTGGGCACCCGAGCTGCCGAGCCAATGCCGGCGCAGCGCCACGCCGTGCCGACCGGGATCCGGCCGGCGTACCTCGAGAGGCGTGGAGAGGCATCGGGAAGTGCAGGGAGACGAGGAGCACCTTAAGAGTGCAGCCCTGTGCTTGCTCTGGCGTGCCGCTCTGCACCGCTCTGGCACCGATCTCGAGACGGGGAAGGCGCGATCACACGTAGGGTCTGCAAAGATTATTCCCGACACCTAGGTTAGCATAGGCTCTGCCAGGCGCCTCCAGTTGCAGGCACTTTTTTCGCGCGGCGCCTGGCCCTCCGAGTGCAGGACAGGTCTTTTTGCTCGGGGGGAGGCATCACGGCACGGAGCGCGAAGGGCGCCCCGAATGGCGCTGTGGCATGGCGGTCGGAGCCACCACGGCGTCATCCGGGGTTCCCCCAGCGCAGCAGCAGTGGCCCGCCCGGACATTGCCAGAACGCGGGGGTAAGGAAGGAGGCGTGGCG